ACTGATCTTTGTGATACGTCCCCTGTGACTCTCCAGTGTTAGGTCTCTTCTCACAGTAACCCTCTGTTTCCAATTAGAAGGTACAGTCTAATATCCAATTTAACATCCTCCCAGTTTCACCTACTTTATTATGAAGTTTATATAGCAGTAGTTTGTAAAGGACTACATAAAATGCCTTCTGACTGTGTGTGTGTGTGTGTGTGTGTGTGTTTGTGTGTGTGTGTGTGTGTGTGTGTGTGTGTGTGTGTGTGTGTGTGTGTGTGTGTGTGTGTGTGTGTGTGTGTGTGTACTTGTTTAAACAGTGTTTATATAGGCTGTAAAAAAAATGCTGTTCATTGAATTTTGCAACTTGTGACGAATATATCTTCATTGTGTTGATATGTTTATTCATTATATTTTGTTTTTACATAGGGAGATAAATGGGCTTTTATATGTTAAGAAAATACATTACCCGTAAATAACTATAGACATAATTTATATAAGGTATATTTGAAAACTCATTACACCACAATACGTTTACTTCAGAAGCCTTTTGAAATGAATATATGTAATTCTACACCCAAGAAAACAAGAAAAAAATATAATCCTTTGTGTCCGTCTTTGCACCGAGCAAGACAAATATATGCAAAGAAAAATGTTCAAAAAACTTTAAACAAGTATTACGAAGATTTGCCATTTTACTTATACCAGAAACTTCTAAAGAAAATATCATAATTTGATTTATGACTTTCTTGGTGCTTCAAGTTTGCACAACTTTGGAGAAAGTCTATTGACAGTTTTTAAAGATTAATTAAATTTGAAAATGGTGTAGTTTATTAATGCTTATTTAAAAGAAACATATATTTTGACAACATTAATTACTTATGAAGTAATGAATAACCATCATTTTTTAGGTTAGGTTAGGTCAGGTTAGACTAGGTTAGGTTAGGTCAGGTTAGACTAAGTTAGGTTCAGACGAAAAAAGCAGTTTATTAAATTATATATATAATAATAATAATTTATCAATCAATAAGTTAAAAATCTTTGACAAACTCTATTTTAACATATTAACGAACCTTAACTTGCTAGGTAACTCTGGCTATTCGGTGCGCCATTATATATATATATATATATATATATATATATATATATATATATATATATATATATATATATATATATATATATATATATACAGGTTTCAAGGGGTTGTCATAGCCAGGGGGTGGTAATGGAGAACAAGCTTCCATTACCTATAAAAAGCTCCTATACGGCGTGCGTCTCCAATAGCCTCTGACAACCAAGTCCAACTCGTGGCCTGCACGGGTGGCTTAGTCTTTAAGTACGGCGGAACTGCTTTTACCGACAGAAGAAGGGGCGAGGGCGTGCCTCTGGCGCCTTAAAACCAGTCGCTCCGGGTAGATGGGACTCGTTAGCCTGGGAAGGCAGCTCCTCTAGGGGAAGGGAAAACCCTGATTCTAAACCTCCGCTGCCTTGCGGCCATACCCCTCTTTTGGGAAAGGCTTCAGGAGTCAACCTCAAGGAAAAATCCTGAGTTGGAGCCCCTAAGGCTGTTCACTGTTGACCTCGACCTCTTTCTGGCAGCTCCTGCGACGGTGCTGGAACCATGTGTATTGGCATTTGCCTTACCAATGGATAATTTCAGCAACGTGGAGAGGGGGGACCTGCTGCATGGGTAACAGCTTCTCCTCCATATCGACCCACCCTGGCTTTGCGCCCTGAAGAGCAACAAGAGCGCAACTCCATAGTCTCCCGAGACTGAAGGATGCTTACTACTATGTATACAGAGAAAGCGAGAGATATCGCGAGAGAGAGAGAACAGGAGCGAGAAAGAGAGAGAGAGAGAGAGAGAGAGAGAGAGAGAGAGAGAGAGAGAGAGAGAGAGAGAGAGAGAGAGAGAGAGAGAGAGAGAGAGAGAGAGAGAGAGAGAGAGAGAGAAAAAAAAAACCAAGAGAGCGAGAGAAAGCTGGGAGAAAGAGAACGCGCCAAAATATACGTTTGATGCTGCTAAATGAAACAGAATATGATCTCTCCCTCATCTAGGTACCTTGAGTGTGTGGAAGTGATCTCCAAAGTATTCTCTCACAGTGAAAGAAATACATTCTTGAGTCTTAACTTTACCGTCATTCCCACCAGAAGAGAATTCGTAAGAGGTAATATGCCAGTAACGAGAAGCTGAGGTACGTAACTTTTGCATATGATATGACGGGAAGAAAAGCAAGAGCCTCTTTTATGTAATGGATGGTAAGGTGACGCGAGGGAAAGCAAGATAGTGGAAGAGAAACAAGAGGCTGTGGTTGAGAAGAAGATAAGAGACAGGCGTAAATTTAATGAATGCAAGTGAAACAAAGAGAAATAGAGAAATATATAGATTAAAGGATATATATACACCATTATATAGTGGGTGAAATGTTGTAAATATAGTCATGATGTATTATCGAGATAAATGAAAGCACTATAGTAAATGACACCAAGAAATGCTTAGATGTTGATCAGACCACACTCTAGAAAATGGAGGGACGACAACGTTTCGGTCCGTCCTGGACCATTCTAAAGCCTCAAGTCGGGTCGACTTGAGAATGGTCCAGGACGGACCTAAACGTCGTCGTCCCTTCATTTTCTAGTGTGTGGTCTGGTCAACATATTTCAGCCACGTTATTGTGACTCTTCATCTGCAATACTTAGATATTTCGAAACACAATGACAGCAAAATAAGCTCCATAAAACCTCTCAGTACATCACTAGAGTCAATTATTCATCACCTCGTGACCAAAATCACGACAGTGACAGAGTAGACTAAAGGTCACAGGATTAACATATTCGGAAACAAAACATATGTCTGTTATGAACAGAATTGAAGACACATAACTCGGACATCTTCTTCAAGATACCACCATCATATGCCAAGACTATATGCATACCACACAACAAACTCGTAGCAAGGACTGTGCTAAAATTCCCACACTCAGAAGCAAAACCCCAAAATTTCTTATCCTTCTATAGTCGTATAACACCAATATCGGTGCGATATACATCTATCATAAAAGTGTATAGGTAGAAAAGCTGTAACTACTATATTTGAATATGAGAAGACAACATTTGCGTGATATTTTTCCTCTTTTTTTTATCTCTCTCTCGAAAAAATAAATATTTTACAGGTGACATGTAGGGAAAAGTGTCTGAGTCAAGGAGCGGCAGGCAGGGTTACTAAACAATATTCTCCTGCGGCACTGTGTATTGCCTCTGTGGCACTATGTATTTCCCCCTGTGGCACTGTGTATTCCCCCTGTGGCACTGTGTATTCCCCCTGTGGCACTGCTTATTACCTCTCCTCACGTCACCGCCGCCAGTGGACAGAAAAAAGACCCGCGAAGAGGGAGGTCGAAAAGCTGGAGAAAGTAAGGAGATGAAAAAAATATAGAAACGAGGAAGAGGAATACCCACAACAGAGGGGTGAATGGAGGACAAAGGAAGAAGAGAAAGGGGAAGAAGAAAAGATGGAGGATAATGGTGTGTAACGCGAGACATAAATTAAGGAAATGAAGGCAAAATGCATTTTTGAGGAAAACCTCTTGATTAAAATCTTATAGGAGAGGAAAAAGCCCAGGGAATATTTGCAAGAAATATATTTCCACCGCCTTATTGACATAATAAGAATCAAGGAAAGGGAAGAGGTGGAGGATGGAAGGGTGGAGAAGAAAGAGGAGGGAAATGAAGGAGTTGAGGAAGGGAGAGAATGAAGGAAAGGGAAGGATGGGCAAGAGAAGGAAGTAGTTAATACCTTAATCTCCCCAAAAATTGTAGCACTAGCAATATCAAGATAAACGTTTTGATATGTACACCAAAATACACGTTGGGTCCAACACGACATGTTGGGTCCACCACGACATGTTGGGTCCACCACGACATGTTGGGTCCACCACCACATGTTGGGTCCACCACGACATGTTGGGTCCACCACGACAGAGGATATCGTAATATTTTAACGTGTCTGGTTCTCTCTGTTTACTTTCAGATACAGGCAAAGTTGTAAATTAAACACCAGAAGGGCCAAAGATACGAATTGTGTTTTCAGCGTTGATATGCAGGAAACCATAGTTCATAATATATATATCACAAAATTTTAAGGTGAGTAGCATTCAAGTCATAAGTTAATTTACGCATAAAAGTCATTTGAGTGTAGTCTTTCCAGGGAGCTTCAGCTACTTTTCACTTCCAACTCGTTTACACTTTTCAATTTATTGCCAAAATTGAGAGTTATGAAATCGGCGAAACTTGTTTTACTTGTGAAATTGTTTCGTTGAGGCAGTCTTCTTCCCTCTCTTGCACCGTGTTGGATGTTCCATCGCTTATATTTGTGTTGTTATATTATGTGTTAAAGCTGTCTCTCTCTCTCTCTCTCTCTCTCTCTCTCTCTCTCTCTCTCTCTCTCTGTCTCTGTCTCTCTGTCTCTCTGTCTGTCTCTCTCTCTCTCTCTCTCTCTCTCTCTCTCTCTCTCTCTCTCTGTCTCTGTCTCTGTCTCTGTCTCTGTCTCTCTGTCTGTCTCTCTCTCTCTCTCTCTCTCTCTCTCTCTCTCTCTCTCTCTCTCTCTCTCTCTCTCTCTCTCTCTCTCTCTCTCTCTCTCTCTCCCCCCCTCTCTCTCTCTCTCTCTCTCTCTCCCCCCCTCTCTCTCTCTCTCTCTCTCTCTCTCTCTCTCTCTCTCTCTCTCTTTCATTCACGTGCTCCCATCTTTCTTTCAGCTGCCCAACCACTTGAGCAGGACGATAGAGCGATGGTCTCACTACGTGCAGGTCGACGTTCAAGCCCCGACTGTCCATAAGTGGTTGGGCACCATTCCTTTCCCCTCTCCGTCCCATCCCAAATCCTTATCCTGACCCCTTCCCAGTGCTGTATAGTCGTAATGACCTGGCGCTTTCCTCCTGATAATTCCCCCTCTCTCTCCATCATCCACCTTTTCTTTAATTATCTCTTCCATCTTCCTCTCTCCTGCCTGGAGTTCATCTGGCGTGGCCGAGTGATCTAAGGCGTTGGATTTAGGCTCCAGTCTCTATGGGGGCGTGGGTTCGAATCCCACCGCTGCCAAGAATATTTAGGAGGCCTGGTCGACGACCGGGCCGCGGGGACGCTAAGCCCCGGAAGCACCTCAAGGCACCTCAAGGTAGGCTATATTTAGAGCACATGTGATTCAGTTCTCACTATTAGCAACAGCTAATTTCGGTATTAACGATAAGCTGTGAGTGCCTCCGTTATCAATTACCTTGAGCCAACTTTAAGGTGGTTTCCAGGCCTTGAAAAGGATCCTGGTTTTGATAAGAGGCCTTATTAAGCCTATTTGAGTCTTATTATTAAGCTTATTAAGGCTTATTTGAGCCTAATTAAAGGGTCAAGGCTTTAATAAGACTCCAAGCCTTGATAAGGATCAAGGCCTTGAAAAAGCTCTGGAACGGACCGAAGGATCACCACTGTGACGTCATACATCTGTCCTGGATTGTATTTCTGTCACGTTATTGTGATATTCTCTGTAAATCAACGTATATTTTACATATTTACTAAACCATTATTTGCTAGGATGATTCAATTCAAAACTATAGAAACACTACGGGCTCACCATAGCCCGTGCTACTCGGAACTTTTTGTTACGAGTAACTGAATCTAAAGCAAAAACAACAGCTATAGAAAGGAAAATTGAAAAAAAATGTGTGAGCAGCCTCGAACTTCGACCATAAGGAAATGCATTTGTATCAACACAATTAAAATCTTAAATAATATCTAATCCACATGAATTAAGCAATAATTTATTGAGACACGACCAAAAAAACGATTAAAAATAAAAAGATAAGTATCGAAAATAGCTTCGTATTCAGCTCCTGAGGTTTCCGATCTTCCGTTTGGCTTCCACCTTAATACAAAAACATTTGCTTTACTGCAGGTGTTGCTTGTAATCGTGATATGCATTAATTTTACAATCCTCGGCTGCATTGTACCCGCGTCAGCAGTCAGCAACGGCGCTGGAGGAACGGCCAGTCGCCATCTGTGGGAAATCTCTCTTCTGAGAATTTTACAGCTGCCGTAAAAACCCAACGCAACAAAGGAGTAAAGACTTAACACCATATCTAGGTTGGGGTTGATGTGGGAGGTTTGTCTGGGGAGGTTTGGAGGTTGATGTGGGGCTTTTCAACTAGAAAATTGGGGCTGTGAAGGGGGGTTAAGATGGATTGATGTGGGGGGAGTTGGATTTGGGGCAGTCAGGTTGTGAGGTTCAGAGGCGAAAGCTGATTTGAAGGGGATAGCTTGGGCTGTGGGGAGGGTTGAAGGGAGGGAGGGGGAGGGGCAGGAATAAGGAGGTAGAAAAAAAATAAATCTAAGGTTGTTGGCCTTTCGGCGCGAAGCGGGCAACCTCACCATCTATTAATTACTGGGTCGCCTATACCGCCAAGTCAGGTAAGGAGATGGAGGTGAAGATGGGTCAGGTGATGGGAAGTGAGGAGGAATGGTGATGGAAAGTGATGGAAATAGTAATGGGAAGTGAGAGGGAATGAGGGTGATTGGAAGTGAAGGGGAACTATCAGGAAGGAATTTAGGTAAAGAGGAAATTGAAAACAACTTGCATAATGGAAGACAAAAGTCAGAATGAAGATGATCGTGATGAAGGGTTAGGAAGAGGTTGATGATTTTGTAGAATGGGGGGGATAAAGAAAACATTTATAAATGTAACCAGTGATGAATCTAGAGAGAGAGAGAGAGAGAGAGAGAGAGAGAGAGAGAGAGAGAGAGAGAGAGAGAGAGAGAGAGAGAGAGAGAGAGAGAGAGAGAGAGAGAGAGAGAGAGAGAGATTCTGAGGAAGTGAATCATGCGACGAAAAAGTAGATAACACAGGAAGAAGACAATGGAAAAGAACGTACTGTATACCCAAAAATAGTCATTAAGTACTGACGCCCCTGAAGCAATATGAAATCACTAATACAACATAGAGCTTTTGACTCAAGGGGGCAGCCGTTGACGTAAGGGGGCAGCCGTTGACGTAAGGGGGCAGCCGTTGACGCAAGGAGGCAGCCCTTGACGCAATAGACAACTTTGACGCAAAGTGGAATCCAAGATATCACCATTGGATATGATCACATAAATCTCTCCATTAGCCACTCCTGATGGCACGGGTCAGACTCCAGCATAGAGTTCGGATGCTCAATTACAGTGGACTTTATCTCAAAGATATTTCCATTACCTCATCAATGCACTGTAGGCGAAGGAGAAAACAATAAAGGTACAGTAAGGACAGGAGATGGAGGGGAAGAAGGAGAGAAAGAGGAAGATGGACGGGCCATAATGCTAAGCTGGCAATAAACCTCGATAATAAAACAAACGGTAAACCTCATAATAAAACTTGTTCGTTGTCTCGAGAGCCATCAGTGATTTACTGCTCTCGCGTCAGAAGAAAGAGAGGAAATGAGGAGAAGGAGGGGAAGAAGAAGGAGGGGTAGGAGGAGGAGGAAGAAGAGGAGGAGGAGGAGGAGGAGGCTTAGAAATTATGAAAGCGAGAAGACAGGTGGAAGTAAGTGAGAGAGACAGGCATGGAGGAAAAACTTAAATAGGAAGGAAGGAAAGAAGGTAGGAAGGAAGGAAGGAAGAAAGGAAGGAAGGAAGGAAGGAAGGAAGGAAGGAAGGAAGGAAGGAAGGAAGGAAGGAAGGAAGGAAAGGAATGAAGGAAGAGGAGGTTAAAACAAAAAAGGGGCGGCAGTGTAAAATTGGAATTACAAAGCCGTAGCAGGAACGATATAAAAGTAGAGGAAGGGGGATGAAAGGAGAAGCAGAAAGAAAGGGAAGAGTATAAATTTTCTGGACCCAATTTTATTTTTAACAGCATAAAATATGAACGCAAATCCCCTCAACACTACAACAAACACGCAGCGTTCTCAAGTCTTTTGTCGCACTCTCCCAAACACGACAACCAACCGAAGAGACGGTTGTCGACCCCGCACGCTGGTGTGTATATGTATGTATGTATGTGGCCATGTATAACCATAGCCAGGAAGAGGTCCAACGTGGAGGTTCCTCGCCGTATATACAAGGGAAAGAGAGACATGACGCTCCAATTTACAAGCTTCCTGTACTCATGAATCACTGCGCAGTTGATATATTTGCGCCCGGAGCGCCTCGGCCTGCCGTCGACAAGCCATTCATCTTCCAGCTGCTCCAAACCTGGCGAAATGGGACACATCTGACCTAAATGAATTTTCTAAAAAGGAGATAATGAGTTTCCTAACGAACTCGTGGCTAGCGCTCCACAGGCTCACATTTGGGAGTATGATATGAGGTTGTTTTCCTGGGACATGTTGCTGGGACGTGTTGCTGGGACGTGTTGCTGGGACGTCTTCCACACACACACACACACAAATTTATATACACAGGGTCCTCGAGGCCGAGCGAGCAGCGTTCGAGATTCGCAGTCCACGGAATCAGGTTCAATTCCCAGCGAAAGAGAAACAAATGGGCAATTATTCGCCTGATACTTCTTTTCACCCAGCAGTAAATTACTACCTGAGAGTTAGCTGTTGTGCGATGCATCCTGGGGATTTTGTGTGTGTGTGTGTGTGTGTGTGTGTGTGTGTGTGTGTGTGTGTGTGTGTGTGTGTGTGTGTGTGTGTGTGTGTGTGTGTGTGTGTGTGTGTGTGTGTGTGTGTGTGTGTGTACTCACCTATATGTGCTTGCAGGATCGAGCATTGACTCTTGGATCCCGCCTATCCCGCATATATGAAATATATATGTAGTAGATATGATAGAGGAAAATAGGTCGGTAGTCAGTCCATTAAACAACCGTCTCTCAGAAAGGCGGGGTCAAAGAGCTAACATCAAATTCTGCAGTCACAAATTAAAAGCACAAATACTAAACACACAATTGCTTAACCATATATAGACGAACACATTAATGGAAAATACCAAATACTGGAAACGTGGAGTAATAAGTGAATATATTAAAGACAAAAATGGGGCTCAACAAAGAGAGCGCAAGAGAGCATGGAATAATATGAAGCAATAAGAGAGATATGTGAAGCAGTAATGTGTGTGTGAGGAATGATAGGGGGAAGCTTAATGGGCCAATAAAGGCAGGTGTGAAGCAGTAAAGGGAATGTCAAGAGAATAAATAGTGCAAAAGAAGAGAGCTTCTGAAGGCAAATAATAATACTAAAAAGATGGCATTCGATGTTAGAACACTCGGCAGAGTGGAGATGTGATCCCTACACATCTTTGGGTTCAGTGGTTTTATTAAAGAAAACCAAGAGTTTAGAATAAAGTTGGTGTGGGATACGTGGAGCGTCTCAAGGGTTCAATTGGTTGTTTATCCTATACATATAAGCGATTTAGATTCAAGACTGAGCAGAAGTATTTACAAAGTTCCTGACGATAAAAAATTGAGCGAGAAGACAAAATTCAGAATATTCAAAAGTACTTCAAGACATTCTTGACAGGCTTTTGAAATGGACGAAAGATTTTTAATCTTTTAAAAATGGGGACCATGCTTTCTCTGATCTTGAGGCCAGGTCAGAGAGATCTGGTCAGATGCCTGGTCAGAGACCTGGTCTTAGGCCGGGTCAGAGATCTGGTCAGAGGCCTGGTCAGAGGCCTGGTCAGAGACCTGGTCTGAGGCCGGGTCAGAGATCTGGTCAGATGCCTGGTCAGAGGCCTGGTCAGAGGCCGGGTCAGAGACCTGGTCTGAGGCCGGGTCAGAGATCTGGTCAGAGGCCGGGTCAGAGATCTGGTCAGAGGCCGGATCAGAGATCTGGTCAGAGGCCGGGTCAGAGGCCGGGTCAGCGGTCGGGTAGGAGGCCTGGTCAGAGGTCTGGTCAGAGGCCTGGTCAGAGGCCTGGTCAGCGGTCGGGTAAGAGGCCTGGTCAGAGGCCTGGTCAGAGGCCTGGTCAGAGGCCTGGTCAGAGGTCTGGTCAGAGAAATCTGGTCAGAGGCCTGGTCAGAGGCCTGGTCAGAGAAATCTGGTCAGAGGCCTGGTCAGAGGCCTGGTCAGGGGCCTGGTCAGAGGCCGGGTCAGAGGCCGGGTCAGAGGCCTGGTCAGTCGCCGGGCCGGAAGGACCTTGA